GGAACTGATCCAGTGTCTGCAGCCTCTCTCCCCTGCCCCTGCCGCTCCCTCCCACAGCTCTGTTGCTGTTGTCAGGATGACATGGGAAGAAGGCAGGGGAGGGAGCTCCATCCTGGGGTTTGCCCAGCTTGTCCTGGGGCGGGGGTGGATGAATCCACCTCCAATCCACTCATGCCCCACCTCCAGTGCAGGCTGCGCAAACCCCAGAATGGAGCTCCCTCCCCTGCCTTCTCCCCCTCCCATCCTGATGACAGCACCAGGGACAGGGCTGGGCTGCATCAACCCAGCCCTGCTCCTGCACAGGGACAAACAGAAGTTAATGAAGGCACTCTGCTTTGGACTGCCTTCATCTAAACCATTATTAAATAAGGGTGTATTTGCTGTGCAACTGGGCACTTTTAAAGTGCTTTGCAGCCAGGGGCATGCCCACTTCCCCCCATTGCTACACCACTGGTCAAGCCACAGTTGTGTGCTTTTTAGGGGCCAATTGCACAGCAAATATCACGTTTGTCACACTGAATGACAGGCTTAATGAGTCTAATGAATGACAGCAGCAGAAACATTAAGTTAGATACTTCCTTACAGTTAAATAATATACTAGTTCATAAAGGTTGATATGGTAAGAGCGTGGTTCACCTAAGTAACCTTATTTGTTTTTTCCTGGATAGTATTCCAATTAAATAACAATACAATTTGCTCCATAATTAAATATTATCTTTTTTAACTTTACCGTAGTAATTTTAAGTAGTTTTCTTCTAGACCTAAACACACTGGACTGGAACCATGAAAATCTCATTGCTGTTGCTCTAGGATCTTGTGCATACATCTGGAATGGAGAAACCCACCAAAGCATTGAAAGCATTGATTTAAATTCCAGTGCAAAATACATTTCATCTATTGCTTGGATAAAAGAAGGAACTTGTCTTGCTGTTGGTACTAGTGATGGGGAAGTGCAGGTACTGGATAATTTACTTTCCTATTCTTGTTCAGGTTTAGATACAGTGGCCACAAGACATTCATATCACTTATTTTTTCTTACTTTACAAGTTTTCACACATATTTGGAGACAGATTCATAGCATCCCCCATAATGCAGTGCTGCACTTTGCCAAATGCATGGGTGTTACCCATTATTACCTAAATGTACTGGGGCTTTGGAGCCACTTAAAGACTAATGACTAGATAAATAAGTCACCACAGTAAGTCAGAAATCTTGCTACCATTAAGTGAAACCCCTGAATACAACTATTTCCCCCAACATGCATGATTTTTAACCATACTTTCCAGTAGGCTGCCATGTCATGGCTTGCTGTAATCACATTTGCCATTAGCACCCAGGTTGAAATTCCCCTATAAAACCCATCTAGCAGATTTTCTCTCTGATATTCTGCTGTTCCTCCTCCAGTGTCTACTAATAAAGTCCAATATAGCTGTCCAGAAAGTTGGGGAAAACCTGGATGAGATATTTGTATAGTGTAGGAATCAGCTCTGCTTAGAAGTCAATAAAGTAATAACCATGGATCTTCAAATCCCTAAATAAATGGCTTTCTTTGTAGAGTTACTTAATACCTGCAGCTCTTCTTGATTTCTGGAACAGTGATTTAGCACCAGAGTTTGGAACTTTTGGCCTTAAAGCACAATACTTCAATTAATAAACTTCAGGTATTGGCTTTTAAATATCAGGATTATATCAAATTAATGATAAATGGTGGACAAGGATTATTATAAAAAATAATAAACCCCCTTTGTTTTGTTTTGTTTGGTTAGTTGTGGGACACTGAAACCAAAAAGAGGTTGAGAAACATGGTTGGCCACCTTTCTGTAGTTGGAGCCATGAGCTGGAATCATTATATACTTAGCAGGTAAGCAGTAAAATATATTAATTTGTGCACAGCATTTATTCAGGCAAAAATCCCATATACTTTAGAGGATTTCTTTGTTTTTGGTGAAAAAACGTGCATTCTCTTCTACTTATTTATGTATGTACCTATTATCTCAGATACCATGGTGATAAGTGCCCTCATAAGACCTGGGCTAGTTCTCCACCTATATATCTCTGCTTGGTCATGTCTCTATGATATCATGAGGTGAATTTACTTCTATGCAGAAGGCCAACACAATTCTTTCATCTACCACATAAACCTGTTTTAAGGGCTCAAAGTGTATAAAAGTGTTTGATGTTTTCTGCTAGTGCTCTGCACAGGGCTGAATTTCATTCTAGTTGCCTCACCCTATGGCCCCCTGTACACGTTACAGGTATTGCACAATTAACTCGTTATTTCTGCAATTACCTTAAGACCAGCTACATGTGCAAAGTAGCTGTCACACAATAAAAAGCTCCAACCAGCTATACAGTTAGATCTCAAAATGTGTACTAACTTCATAGCTGGTTGCTATTGAGCTTTAATTTTTTTGTGTAGCAGGGTCTCTCTTGCTGCTGCCAGGGATTCCAGCTGCAGGGGTGCACCTTGCCCAGCATGAAACTCCCAAGTCCTGTGGATCATGGCTGCTGGGATCATAGATTCATAGATTGTAAGGCCAGAAGGGACCTAAGAAGATCATTGGGTCCAGCCCCCTGCACCAAGCAGGAAAGATAACTGTGGGGCAGGTGACCCCAGGAAGCTGATGGTCTAGTTTCCTTTTGAAGATTTCCAGGGTAGGTGATTTCACCACCTCTGGAGGGAGCTTATTCCACAGTCTGGACACCCTGACTATGAAGAAGTTTTTCCTAAAGTTGAGCCTGAATTGATCTTCAGGTGTTTGTGGCCATTACTCCTAGTTTTCCCCTCTGGTGCCCTGGTGAACAGTTGCTCACCGAGCCCTTGAAGTACTCCCCCAGTGTTGTGGTAAGCTGCTACCGGGTCCCTTCTCAGCCTTCTTTTCTTTAGGTTGAAGAGTCCCAGATCCCTCAGCCTTTCCTCGTATTGCTTGCCGTGTAAGACTCTGATCATATGGGTGGCTCTTCTTTGGACTCTCTCAAGCTTGCCCATGTCCTTGTTAAAGTGTGGTGCCCAGAACTGGATGCAGTACTCCAGCTGTGGTCTCACCAGTGCTGAGTAGAGCGGAAGAATCACCTCCTTGTGTTTGCTGGAGTTGCATCGATTGATGCATGCCAGAGTATTATTTACTCTACTGGCTACACTGTCACACTGCTGGCTCATATTTATACTGTGGTCTGTTATTACTCCCAGATCATTTTCATTCATGGTGCTAGTCAGTTTGGTGCTGCCAAGCCTGTAGGTGTGTTGGGGGTTCCTTGTCCTGAGGTGTAGCACTTTACATTTATTGACATTGAATGCCATCAGGTTCTGATCGGCCTAACTTGCTAGCCGGTCTGGGTCCGCCTGTATCTGTAGCCTATCTTCAAGCATGACCACACTTCCCCATAACTTGGTGTTGTCTGTGAAGTTGGCCAGTGAGCTCTTCACTCCCACATCCAAATCGTTAATAAAGATGTTGAAAAGTATTGGACCAGGCACTGACCCCTGCTGGATACCACTGCCCACTTCTCACCAGGATGACACAGATCCGTTAGCTACGGCTCTCTAGGTTCAATACTGCAGCCAATTTCTCACCCACCTGACTGTCTCAGAGTTAAGTTCACAATCCTCCAATTTTCTTGCGAGGACATCGTGGGATACTAGATCAAAGGCCTTTTGGAAGTCAAGGTATACAATGTCAACCTGCTCTCTTGTGTCCAGGTGGCGAGTTATCTGGTCATAGAAGGAGATGGGGTTGGTAAGGCAAGACCTGCCTGCAATGAACTTTTCTAGGATTTTCCCTAGGATGAAAGTTAGGCTGACTCTCTCTAGCCCTTCTTATGGATGGGCACAACATTGGCACTCTTCCAGTCCTCAGGGACTTCTCCAGAGTGCCAGGAGTTGTGGAAGAGTTGCGCCAAGGTTTCCGCAATGACTTCTTTCAGCAACTTCAGCACTCTTGGATGAAGATCGTCTGGTCCCGCTGACTCGTATATGTCTAATTTTTTAAATTGGTCATACACCAATTTTATGGCAATAGTAGGAAGGCAATTATTCCTACTGTGCTCATCCTATACTCTACCTGGCATTGTTTTCCCCTTGGTCCGGTGAAAGACTGATGCAAAGTAGTAATTCACGAGTTCAGCTTTCTCCTGGATGCCAGTAACCAGCTATCCTGGGTTGTTGAACAATTGCCCCACACTCCCATTTGTTTTCCTCCTGTTCCCTATGTACCTAAAGAAGGACTTCTTGTTGTCCTTGATTCCTGTTGCTAATTTAAGTTTGGTCGCTGCTTTAGCCTTTCTTATCTGTTCCCTGCGAATGCGGGCCGTCATGGAATAGTCCTCCTTGGGACCTATCCCAAGCCTCCATTGTTTATAAGCCTCTTTCTTCTTAAGAGGACCGTGATTTCCCTGTTTAGCCAAGAGGGCTTCCCAGCCCTTCTGTTACCTTTCCTCCGCATGGGAGTGAACTTCCTTTGTGCTTCTAGGATCATGTCCTTAAGGAACAACCACTCTTCATGCATACCTTTTGCCTTTGGTCCTTGGTCCTGCAGCACTTCCCCTACTAGTGACCTAAGCTTGTTGAAATTTGCATTTTTGAAGTCCAAGACTTCAATCCTGCTATCAGATTTGTCTGCCTTACGTTGGACAGTGAACATTATGGTTGCACGGTCGCTGTCGCCCAGACTTTGTTCTATATTTAAGTTGGTCACCAGGTTGTCTCCTTTGGCCAGGAGCAAGTCTAGCAGAGCATCACCTCTGGTTGCCCCATGCACCTCCTGAATCAGGAAGAGCTACTTGACACAGGTCAGGAAGGATCATGACTGATCCAACTTGGCTGAGTGTTCCTCCCAGGAGATGTCTGGATAATTAAAATAGCCCATGATGATCATGTCACATGCATGTGCAGCCTCAGTCAATTCTCAGGTGAACTCCAGATCAAGTTCCTCCCCCTGGTTTGGTGGTCTGTAGTATACACCTACAGTTAGGTCTCTCTTGCCATGCCTCCCCCCACTGCAGCTTAACCCAGAGGGTTTCAAGCTGTTCATTTCTGGAGCCAATGTCAGCCTCCAAGGAGGTGTACTGCTTTTTCACATAGAGAGCAACGTCACCACCTTTCTTTCCCACCCGGTCCCTTCTATGCAGAGTGTAGCCCTCTATAGCTGCAGTCCAGTCATATGAGGAGTTCCACCAGGTCTCCATAATCCCTACTAGATCATAATGCCCACTGGGTAGGAGGGCTAGCTCCTCCTACTTGTTCCCCATGCTCCTGGCGTTAGTTTATAGGCACCTGAGTCCTCCTACTGAGGTCCTCATCTTCCTGTCTCGCTGATGGAGAACTATTCCCACAGCTCCTGCAAGAGTGGCTCTCCCAGAGTCCCTATATACAGAGCTTACTTGTATGTTGTTCCCTGGACATGTTTGAATTTGTGTATCCCTGTCCCCCAGCAATCTTAGTTTAAAGCCCTGTCCAGAAGATTGGCCATCTCAGCTACCTTTCCTCATGAGGTGGATGCCGTTACTTCCCAGGAGTCCTCTCTCCTTGAAGTATGTGCTGTGGTCAAGAAATCTGAAGCCTTCTTGGTGGCACCAGCGTCAGAGTAGCTGGTTCACTTCCTCGATGCATCCTTCTCTTCTGGGACTGCAGCATGCAGCACAGAAAAAAGACTATCTGGGCCCCCAACCCCTTGAACCCAGACCCCAGAGCCCTGTAGTCACTCATGACCCAGTCTGGATTACTCCTCGTCATGTCATTAGTTGAGGAGCATAGGGTAGTAGTTGGAGGGCCAGATGAGCCTGGGAATCCTCTCTGCTACATCTCAGACGTGAGCTCCTGGGAGGCAGCAGACCTCACGGGCTAGGGATGGGTCCCACTGAGCTCCGCAGGAGGGAGTCCCCCACCACCTCTTACGCCTCCTCTTAGGGGCGGCAGGAAGCTGCTTACCTTCCTCCTCTTCTGGTGTCACCATCGGAGCTTCCTTATGTGCGGGGAGAGGAGCGTACCTGTTGTGCAGGTATGATCCCCAAGGCTTGGGGGTGCATGAAATTTCGAGGCCCATATGGGGCTCTCAGTCCTGGCTGTGCCTTGCATGCAACCCGGACTGAGAGCCCCACAACTGATGGGATCTCTTGGCCCCAGCTGTACATGGCCCCCATGGCTGCTGGCCCCCCCCAGCAAAGGGGACTCCCAGCTGTGGGAGCTTGCTTCTTGCTACTATATGGGGAGCCCAGGGTCAGGCTCCCACTATACTGACAGTAAGGTGCGATTGGATCTAATGTGCAATCCCACATCATGCTTCCTGCGTAGCATGGCAGGAGGCATGATTGTATGAATCACACACCAGATCCAGTCATACCTTTATTTGACTGTGTAGGGGAACCTATGTATCAAAGCATCATTTCAATAGGGGGATTCAGCTGAGATAGATTGTGTATGCTTTCTGTAGCCATTTTGGATTTACAGTCTGCTCCTTTGCCTGTTCCCAGTTCATTTTATTGGGCACCAAATAATGAAGCAAAAAAACTATCATTACACTCAGTGTCATGGTTAGTGTTGCCTGAAGTTTCCATTTCAAAGCCTTGTAAAATCCTGATAATTTTTGGTAAACATAGAAATAAGAGCTGAACCTAATTCAAACTTGTTTTAGACCCTTGAGCTCTGTGATGAAACTCAGAATGAAACTTTCTTCTCTGCCTGGGTAAGCACATGTTCTGGAGAGCTTTGTGGTTTTGATTTCAAAAGAAAATATTTCTAACAGTTGATTGTAGTAGGCCTGGTGGGTCTTGCAAAGCTGATGATCAGCCTCGCCTGCCAATACTATATTCACTAGTTTCTGTTTGCATTTCATCTTAGTATGCAGATGAAACAGAGATCTTGTA